CAGTATATCCTGATCGCGAGACGATAACGTGGACGAAATCTGGAAAGGATGAAAATAGCGAACAAAAAGGACGAAATGGAGATTTAGACTCTTTAGACCTTCTAATGCTGTTGGCAGTTGGCCTTTACAGCTTCATCAAAGGATAGGAGGAGAGTGCAGATGGCACTCTAAACCCGCGGAAGGACTTATAGTGCAGTAAAAGGCCAACTCCTGCCTGACGGATACGACTTTACGGAACTAGGGGTTCGAACCTCGGTTCAGGCCTTCGTAATTATGATCCCCGTTTGAGTTGGACGGGGGTTCAATCGGAGGGTATTAGTAGACTCATTTGCTAGCAATGTACCTTATCAGGTCGACTCGTCGACTACCTTACTTGAATATCTTATCAGGATCCCCCTAAAACAATCAAGGTTAATTTCTAATGAATTTGCCAAACTGGCTAAATGATTTAACTTCACCATCATCTTATTAACCTCCACTGGCGAACCGCAAAGATATATATAGTTTTGGCAACCATGTAATTTTATATGGAAGTTGGATAAATACGGAATATCAGTATCAGTACCATTCAATTTTTTCTCAAGCTAAAAGAAAGACAACAGAACCAATTATATATATCATATATATAAAATTTGTGTCAACCCTGTTTGTACAAAGTAGAAGCCTTACGGTAAGCGTGTTCTTTTGTTTGAGTAAAATATTTCTACTAATATTATATTATCATAGCTAATGGTTTTCTAATCGTCTGTCCTGAAAACAATACCTATAATCTTGAACGACACATGAAAGAATGGTGTAAACAATGACCATTTCATTTATTTGCTTTGTCATTAGTTTGGTAAAGCGAACACTATCTATTTATAATTCAAACTAGTAGTCCCCGCGAGGTTGTACGAGTGTGAGTACAAATCGACAAAAAAACCGGAATTGTCATAATTTGAAAAACCCAACCTTTACACCAGAACCAACAAACTGTTTCAAAAATTCATAACTCATATACATATTTATCGAGATTCAAGATATAAAAATGAAGAAGATAGCGGAATTGTCGTAACTTGAAAAACTCAACCAGAGCCAAAAACTGATTCAAAATTTCTGATTCAAAATGAAATTAAATTAAAAGTTTTTTTTTGAGCATATATATATATATATTTATCGATATTAGAAAGTTTAAAATGGATAAGTACTTAAATCTTGATAAATATATAAGTTCTGAATTCTTGAAATAAAATCATTTTTCCTAAGTTGGGTTGTTCAAGTTATAACTATGCCGCTTTTTTTCCCATCTATAGGTAGCTCGCTGTCTAGTTAGTGTGGTTCCGTCCTATGGTATTGGGGTTTCTTTCTTAGTATTTTTATACTATATGTTGATCCATATTTAAGAATTTATTCTGTGCAAAATAATGCGAAATTATCCAGTCGTTTTTACATGAAACTTTAACATACGAACAAATAAAGAAACAGATTTCGCTGTTGTTCGTTAGCCCTTTTGTTTTCATGTAGCGAATCAGTATTGAAAATATGATTTCTACATAAATATGGAAGCATGGTCTTTAGGTATCTGCGATATTTACATGTATTAGTAATTACATGTACGTGTTCATACAATTTGTGTTGAAATAATACATATTTTCTCCTGGAAACCATCATGTTAATTTCTGGTGAATTTGCCACGATGGGCTAACTAACCTGACCTCATAACTTATCTTATCATAATCCCATTCATCCTATTGGTGCTCCGCCATGCTTATACCACAGATAATATAATATTACATACTTATACTGTTAGCGCAGGCGAGTGCCCTGATCCTTTATCATCTCTAACAAAAAATTATGCTGTACTGGGAGGAAGCGGTTTTTTTTGTGGATGATAATGAAATGGTGCTCCTGGCTGCGCTAACGGTTTACGCTGGCGGGGCACCAGTGGAGGATGATAAGATGAGCACGAGGTCAGGTCAGTTCGCCCATCGTGACAAATTTACCAAGAATTTATCACGATGGTTTCCAGGGGGAACCGTGTGGAGGCTGACACCTGTCATGGTACATTGCTAGTAATGGGTTCATTAGTCCACATTACTAACAATCCCTTTTACCCCGAGGAAGCGGATTAGGACCTATTACTAGCAATGTACCATGTCAGGTCGACCTTCACTGGGTTCCCCCTGTAAACCAAGTAATTCCATCACGATGGGCTAACAGACCTCACCTCATTCTCATCTTATCATCCTCCACTGGTGCCCCGTTAGAGTAAGTAGAAGGTACATTGTCATCCATAAAAAAATTGTACTCTGTTGACAAATAAATCAGTTATCTCATTGTACTTTACATAAGCATCTTATTTAACTTACTTTACATAAAAGTGTAATATTAAAGATACTAGTATGTTTACCATTTTGAAAGGTTAAAGGTCTCATTTTAAAACAAGGTGTTTCTTTCAAATATTATGTTATATTTTGCATATTACAACAGGGGAAATCCAAATAAGAAATCCCCTATTGTAGAGCTAATAATAATCTTCCGAAACGTTGGTGTAGGTATATGACGTAATGATGTTGACATCTGACCATAAATAAATTAATGTTTTAATTTTAGTAGTTACTTATTGAAATCTCTTTCGAATTAGCATCTTTTGTACTTACTAGCTGTGCCCGCGACTTCGTTCGCATGTTATAATAACTTTGACCAAATACCTAATAAAAAATATTTAGCATCTATTCCAAAAATCAAAGAAAAAAAATCATCGTCCTAGCTTCATAAATGACGATTTTCCTATTTTATATTACCTCCTTAATGGTAATTTTTTACAAAATTTGAATGTCATATTTATATTTTTAATCAACAGCTTAAAAAATAAGTATCAAACTTCTAGCACGATACTTCTATACAAACTTTCTTCTCCCCTTTCAATCCCTTATAACCCTTTTATCGCATTAAAAAGTTACCTATGTCCTTTCTCAGGTTCTAGACTATCTGTGTACTAAATTTCATTTAAGTCGGTCCAGTCGTTTTCGCGTTAAAGCAAAAACTACTGGACCGACTTAAATGAAACAGACAGACAGACAGAGTTACTTTCGCATTTATAATATTTGTAAGAAGTATGATGAAACGTCACAGCAGAGGTGACGTCATGTATCACGTTATTACCCACAGAACTAAATTACTACCTGCCTTTTAGAATATGCGACGAAATTAACATGTAATCGCCATTATTTCCTAAAGTTATTAATAAATCTGGACGGCCTCGGTGGTCTTGTAGTTTAGCACACCGCCTTACTTCCGGTAGTCGCAGGATCGATTTCTCGCACAATACAAACATTTGTATTAATTAGTATGATTCGTATTGGTCTGGTTGTTACCTATTTATATTATGTACTAGTTGTACCTGAGACTTCGTCCGTAACTTTATTTTTCTAAAATAAAAGTAGCCTAAGTTACTCCTTATTACATTAGCTACCTGCCAATAAAAGTGTCGTCAAAATCGGTCTAGCCAGAGATTAGTCGAAAAAAACAGAAAAAAAATTGTAAAAGATAAAAATATGGTGTATATAGCATATTTATATTAATATCCGTAGTAAAAAAGGGTTATTTTATTATTACAAACAGACATTCCAATTTTATTTATATGTAAAGATGTATGTATTTAAAAAAAGTATGTATATCAGTTGTCTAGTACCCATAACACAGCTCTGCTTGGGTTGGGACTAGATGACGCGATATATATTTTTTGTGCATGATAAAGCAGTATGTAATGTATGAAAATGATATTTTTATACATTGCCACTATATATTATTAGATTTAGCACACGCATAACTATGCGGGAAAATCGTAGTTCTAATAATAAACACTAAAATATCTCTACTAGTGTTATAATAACATCGATAAATTGAATCTGTAATCATTATAATATTAAAGATTCAATTTATCTACGTTATTTTGTAATAGATAAAAAAAATTGAACGATTTTGAAAATTGTTTATAAAATAGGTGTATAGAAAACTTTCTACTAACTAAAAACTAAATGTTGGGGGTGGACAACCATTATCACTTTGGGGGTATGAAAAATAGATACTGACTTATTTTCAAACCTACTGAATATGCATATAAATCGGTATATTATTTAATTTCATAAAAATCGGTTTCGAAGGAGTTTGGTAACTAACATTGTGACACGAGAATGTTATACATATATAAGATTACGTTGAAAGATGTAATGATATCATAACATTTTTATACAAAATGTATATCTCTTATTATTCCAACATACCCAGAATTTAAATCAAATTGCACTCAAACACGTAACATTGTTTACTTGACTTCGACACCGACCTTCGTGAAATATTAGACTACTTAAGTGATAAAAGCACCATTTGAGGTTACTATGAAAATGTCACGTTTTGTTACGTTTCTTGAGTAATACTAGAGTGGATATTTATTACACATCTGTACAATGCCGCGCAGAATAAAATGATCGAAGTCTCGTAATATTAAAACTTCTTTGTTTTTAGTCATCCCCAAAAAATCAGAGGTTGACACATTTGTACTTCTTTTACATATGTTCATCGATATTTGCGATTTAAAAATGGGCCGTATTAATATAGTGCGAGATTCTTACCTTCATAACACAGTCATTTAACTAGCACGGAAGATAATGATTTTTTAGTGTGTACCCTCAGAAATATTTTGTTTTATATAGTTTATATATACCTAATTTTTTTTATATAAATAATGACAATTACGAAGCCTTTTGCCGTCGCTTTCTAACTTTGCAATCTGATTAAATGAGCCAGTTGCAAACCAAGTAACAAGTGAGCATATGACTGAAAAGCACTTGCACGCGTCGTAACATATGAAGGGTATTATATTCGTTCCTCTTTCAAACAATGGTTACCACTTACCATCAGGTAGGCCATAGGCTTGTTTGTCATTCCTGTCAAATAAAAATAAAATGGTAACTCGAGATTAGTATTATTAATGATTTTTATTTTTTTCTCATTTGCAGTCGGATGTATCATCAAAAGACAGAGAAGTGCCTCAAGACAGTTTGAAGCGGTGGTGCGATGATAACAAGATAGCTACTTACATAGAAACTTCAGCAAAGAGCGACAACAATGTTTTCGAAGCATTCTCTATGGCCGTCCAAAGGTAATGTATCATTCAGTCATTCAGTCATTTATTTATTGGTAATGGTATGGTGCACCAGTGGAATGATACGATCAGGAAAAAAGCGAGTCATCCTATCCTGGACAATTTACCAGGGATTAAACCCTATAGTTTCCAGCGCAAGCTCGACCAGATATATAAATATTTACAGTTATATATATGTACGTACATTATTCAATAACAAACCATTCTCCTGGTGGGATGGTTAATTACTAGTAATTGCCAGGGTGCCAAGAAAACCGTTACGCGGTTCCCTCTGAAAATATCCATCGAAATTAATTCCTGATGAATTTGATCTGACTTCATACTAACCTTATTATCCTCCGTGGGTGTCTTGCCAGCATAAACCGTTAGCCCAGGCAGGCATACCATTATAATCCAATAAAAACAATCTCTTCTCTCTCATGAAATCTCTATACATGTACCAAGGAAACTTGTTTTTTCTGATACACAGATGGCTTGAATTAGAGCAACAGGCGGAAAAAGAGCTAAGTATGCTGCATCACCCCGATACTGTCACCTTACACGGTTCGAGGACCAGATCAGCGCTGCGAGCCACTTGTTGCTCTCGGTTCAGCGACGTATGAACACCTGTCAATTGTTTATAAATACACATAGCCGTAATTTCAGCGGACGTTTTGTACGATCAAACATTATACAGTTCATCAGATGATTGCCATATGCGACTTTTAGACTGGCTCTTTGATTCATTGATTTATTGCCATGCCCCATCCTCTTTGTAAATGTGCCAATCAGTGCGGAGTTGTATAAGGCAATCGATTGAACTGAATAATGTGTGACCGCCGGTAGAATACATGCGATTTCTAAATGTGACTGCTAAAATAAAAATTCTAAATTTGGAACCTACCGACATGTTTCTACATTCTAAAATAAATCGGCCAGTACGTAATTAACCTCTAGGATGTACTCTCTCGCACTATGAGGTATTAGGAATATGTGAGCGAGACAAAACGTCTTAGTCACTTACACTTGTTAGTAATCTCAAAAGAGTTTTAATTAAATTCCAAAAAAATAAGACTGTAATATACATATACACGAATGTTCGTGTTGTTATCTCAAACAATATTACATTATTTGTACCTAATAGAACTAGTGATCTTATTAGATTTACGTAACAGTAAAATAATTTAAGACATTATTATAATCATTCGACCATTTTATATATTAATAAGTAAGAAGTATAGAACGAAAAAATGGTGCCTCTATTATATCTGATTAGCTAAATAATTGCATTGTTTTTACGACTTTATTTCAAACGGATGATGCTTAATATTGCCTAGTTACTCATGTATATTCTTATGACCACTTAATAGTGTGATATTGTAATTGGCAGTTTAAGTGAATCTGAGTGTGATTTTTGAGCACAATAATGTATATGTAAATATAACTTATTTATTTACTTAGTGACTAAACTTGGCCGCTAAGAAAACTCCTTTTAAGATGTTATGTTTTCATAATATGTCAGATTTTTGAGGGTGCGTCTCCTCAAACACTATTTATGAAAACATAATAAAATATTGAACACATACACAACAATGGTATAGTGAGTTGTGGGTAATTAATTATACAAATGTTCTATTTGCACTACCTATTATTATATATTCCCATTCTTTTTGTTTAGGGGTTTGGGCTAATACTAGATGTTTTGACATTAGCTCTTTGACCTACGGAGATCTATTTAGAGTTCACTACTTAAGTCCGTTAGGGATAAAAATTAAATATATTCTTAGGAGCTTATAGCTTTTATCTCCTCGAAATAGTGTATGCTGTTGAAAATAAATAATTCGTAAATGAATGAGTGGGCTACAACCATATAAGATTATATTTACATTCCCTTATGTTTTATCAAGCGTAAATTAAGATTTTAGTAGATATTTTCTCATTAGACTATACAGATAGTTAATTCATGAAAGAATCTTTGGTTGTGATATTGGTTGCTTTTTTATTTATTTATGTTTTTTCTTGTAAATATGTTCCATTATTACTTAATTGATTTTATTTATACATATGTATATTTGTGGCATTGTAGTTTTATTAATATGTACAATTTGAACAAAATATAGACAAAAGCGACTGTGACTTGTTATTTGCTTATATATTATATATTATTATAATAATGACTTATTCATTCTTCAGACATACATATATCTGTGTGTTTACTTTGAATACATTGGTGATATCACTGTACATATATGAGGGGAGGTCAAAAAGTTCGCGAAATGCAGGGGTTGGTGGTGGTTGGTTCACTCGTCCAGGTAGTTACTTGTTAAGCACCTCATTAAGAGTACATATACCCAGTTTGAACTAAATCGGGTCATTAACTTTTGAGTTATCGACCTGGAAACAAGTGAATCGGGAAGAAGTCAGCGAGTGTGAAGAAAATTGAACACCGTGCCTTTATTAAGCTCCTCACCAAGCATGGATAATCCGCTCAGACGATTTTTCAAGAGCTGTTAGCAGATTACGCGGACTCTGCCCCTGGTAAAACCATGGTTTACAATCGGCCATCCACCGATGTGGGTTTGAAAAATTAGACCACCCACCTTACAGCCCAGACTTAGCCCCCAGCGACTATTATTTATTCCCAAAAATGAAAAAGGATGAAGGATGTGGAAAAAATTTGGCGACGATGAAGAAGTCAAGTCTGCAATTTCGGCTTATTTTAACAGCAAACTTTTTTTTTAGTGGTCTAAACAAATTATTTGTGAAATATGAAAAATGTGTTAAGGTTAAGGAAGAGTATATTGAAAAGGAAAAATAGTTTCATGTTTAATTTCAACCCCCTTCCCCCTCATTTCGCGAACTCTTTGACCTCCCTTCGTATCTACTATTAGGAATATGGTTTTTAGATAAGTGGTATTTATTTTTTTATAATATTGTTGTATATATATTTGCGATAATACCTACAATTTTCAAATTAAAGCTATATTAATAATATGCTATATATGTTTAATAAAGAACATGCAAGATTAGTAAAAAAAACAACATCAAGCATATTTGCAAGTAAATTTCGTTACTGTGTGCTAAAAAAAGCAGGATAGTTTTATGTGCACACAGGACTGTCAATCAGATAGTAAATATATGCTAAATTTAATATAAATATAAACTTTAAAAGACTAGTAATGTACCAAGAATTCCATAAATATATTTATCATTAACAAATATGAGTAATAGTATAAGGCAAGCTTTTTTTATGAACTAAGTAATAATTATGCTAATGAAATATCCTATAAGAAAAGAATGAGTATGTTATAGTCGACATTCCTACCTCATTGTGTATATCTAAAATATGTTAATTCATATCTCTTTCCTCGTCGATGATCTTTCACGTTTTCTTATTAATCTTATATCTATCTTAAAATTAAACATTGCACCAAAGTCCTCAGAATTTATCAATGCATATATAGTATAAATAGAGTTATTAAAAATACTATTCATATCAATGTAAATAAGTAAAAATAATTAAAATATATACATACATATATGTACGTAATTCATTATAAATAATAATTCAGTTCATATAATAAGACAATTCTTATAATTCCGTCCCAAGCTAAGCAAAGACCTTATGTTATGGTTACTAGACAACTGATAGAAATACTTAAATAAATTTTTTGCGATAATATACCTAGATAATACGCAGACCGATACTCAAGATTATAAGTTTGCATTGTGCAAGAAATCAAACCTGCGACCATTGGAAATACAGCAGTTTGCTAAACCACTAGACCACCGAGGGCGTCAGTAACGAAAGTGGTATGTCTGTTTGTTACCTTTTCACTAAACACGCCTGACAGGCTCGGCAGGCTAATGAAATGACATGAAGACAAATGGTATCAGGTGGAGTGACGTAGCCTGTCTTTGAATAAATATGAATTTTATTAATATATCTCTTACTGCGAAGGTAATAAAGTTGTATTTCACTAAGTGCCTAGCTTATTATATTATATACATAAGTATAGAAATATATAATCCACACCAATTTCATCACTAAGTACACTTTTTTACGCTGATTAGAAAGATATTATTATATTTTATATATGTATGTATATAGCATGCTTACTAAATTGCATTAATTAATAAAAAAATGGGAATTCGACTATAAAATTAAGCCTTAAAAGTTCATTTTACAACATTGTTGGTCCACTTATATTAAAATGCAAGGCAAGAGTTTTAGCGCCAGAGCGTGGCTCTTAAATTATGAATGAATGTAATTAAGATGCGTGCGAAAATTAGATTATTTCGAAAATTTGGTAGTAAAATATTAGGGAATAAGATTAAATATGTAGTGCTATGTAAATTGTAACCTATGTAAATTGTAACCTCCTTATTCATAAATAGAAAATATCTCGTTTAAAACAAAAAACCTATATATAACCTAAGGTTTGCTGTTTTATATGAGATATTATCATAACTTTAATAGAAAAAGACAAAATATTGTTATGTTATGAGTAAGGGGGAAATGTGATTACATATATGTCAAAATATGATATGTGATTTTAAAATTTGAATTGCCTCAAAAATATACTTATTATATATAATAGATATCAATATACATACAATACTTAATCTCAATATACGTTTGATCGCTTACAATAGTAGAATTATAAGTAAAATCGTACCTACATAGATACAATATATAATACATAAATTTGCATCGATCAATAAAAATACGAAAATTTGTATTATGTATTCATAAAAATGAATTTTATGAGTTTTCGTAATATAAAAATTAGGCGGCCTTATACTACTGGAAGCATCGTAACGGATTTTTAATTGTCGAACAAGTTAAATCATATTAACAGCAATCAAAGACAAATCAAAACTATAGGTACCTAGGTACACTAGACCACCAACGTTGTTTGTTTTATTGGATTATGTCGCTGCAAATACGGTCTAAGTAAATTACATATTATCTGGATCTGTATGAAATAAATTGTATTTTTTTTAAATAGTTAATAAGTAAACTGTCTAATCGGTTCTAAACTGAAGCTCACACGAAGTAATTTTCTTTTCACTTTTAAATTAGTGTTAATTGCCTGTTTCTAGGAATTAGCACTAATTATTGTCGCTAATAGGAATATAACAGAAACGTGCTGTAGACATAATACATTAGTAATATGAAAAACATTATCTCGCTGGAACCACTTTACTTTATTTCCAGTCAAAAATATATTAGCAGCTGTCAAATGATTATTATATAATAATCATTTGACAGTTGCTAATATATTTTTATATTATGTAATAATCATTTGACACGTTTAGTTTCAATTGGAATAGAATAAGAAATATTTGCGATAGAGTTATATAATATTATCAAGCCCCTGATTGTCTACACAAATCTCAAATAAATCTATCGTTACTGCATGCAAGGGAAGACGAAGACGCCGCTTGTTGCTGTCATATGATACCTATATAAATATAATATCGATAATTTCCACTAACAAACATATTTACATACATTTCAAGAAATGTTTACATATCAGCGAAGTCATACATCAACATTTTTTATACACATAGTAGTTGTAGTTCAAGGTGAGATACCAACTCTAGATAATGTTCTACGATCGACAATCTTATAAAAAAAGATAATGCCATAGAGATAGTGGTGACAGATTATGTAATATTCATTTGCATCTTGTCTAGCCATCACGAATGCTCACTCTGAGCAAGATTCAATATTTTTAAATGGTACACATTGAATAACAACTGTAACTCTTTCAGTTGCTTTCCAAAATGATATTGCTTAATAATAAATACTTTGAAAATCAAAATACTCGTAGAAACTTCTCCTGTACAGATGGGAGTATAAGTATTGTTACAAATTTACACAAAAATCATTAATTCTACGTGTATTTTGGCCGGTAAAAATATACATTTTCCAAAATTTTTAGACGCTTACTTGTAGGGTGTATGAGTTCATATTATATTGAGATTATACTTAACTTTTTAATTTAGCACATTCTGTTATTCGATTTTTATATTTAGGTATAATATTTTGAAATAATATTGAAGTTGTAAAGCCCAGCTGCAGCCAACAGTATTTTAGAGTAGTCCGAAAAAATATCCAACTATATGCAACTACTTCATAAAAGATGCAATTATGTTATAACTTATGATTTTGATTAGATACATACCCTCTACAATTGATCCAATAATTTAGTTTTTATAATTTATTTTAATGGTTACATTACGCTATCAAACAAGCTTGTAAACGGACGCACTGTAAGAATGGATATAGATATGCACGATATTAGAAATTATAATTAGCATAGGATTGGGCGTGATCTTAGATTGTTATATTTTATTTATAAAATATGTTGTAGACATAGTAATATAATATTGCATTCATTGTTCTGTAATAAATATGAAATATTTATGTTGAACGCTTAATATTTTTACAATATGAAAATAAAAGTTTTGTAAAATGCACTTGGTTTCTTTTTTAATTTAATCACAGGTATTTTTTTACAGACATAGGGTCCGTGCTCGTACTTTGTTTCTACTTCTTTTTATCATTATACGTGATATTAATAACCGTTTACAATTCAATCTCTTAATATATGATAACTTTAAATTTAAGTTTCGAGTTAATGATTTAGGCCATGCATCATACGACCATTTCATTGACCTTAATACATAATCCTGTGATTTCTTTACAGCTAAGATCGCAGTAATGTTTAATCAATATAAAAATTAAACTTTGTATAAATTTATGTTAATGTCTAAGCACAGATATAGTATTATTTAAATTATTAACCGGGTCTTAACACGAAAAATTTTATGGCAAATAAAGGTATTTACCTCTCTCGACGTTTCGGCTAGATTGCACTAGCCGTAGTCACGAGCTATTATTATTATATATACTAAATATTAAACACGAAAGTTTAAAAATAACTACAACAGGTATAGTAAATAAATAAAAAAAATTGTTTTCCACCCACAACTTTAATAACAAAAACAAGTGTAGAAAGTCACATCTTTGGAAGGTTATATATTATACTAACCTACCCTCAACTATGTATAGTACAGATCATTACAATTTATAAATATATGGACAGTCTCTAACATGAATGTATACTATAAAAATATATTTCTATACAGTAAGTGTTAGTACCTATATAATAACATGTGCCTAGTATCATGTATCAACATAATACAATCAGAAACGTAATGATTTATTGATGATTAACTAATTGCCTGTCATTGAGGTACGTAATATCGTACGAGAGACGGCACGTAATCAATGACTTTGTCAAAGAAGCGTATGATTAGTCACTTACAATAACTTGAAACTACATGCTACAACGAAATAAAACTTTATTAAATACACTTGCTTCATGTCAACAAGAATACAGTACAATAAATAATCTATAGATGGGTTTACCCAGAGGGTGAGAACAGGGATAGCTGCGTCCTCCTAGAAATTGTATGCTACATAAACATACATTTGCATTAAGTTTGGAGAAAAGACCTAGGAGCAAATGTGCAGAAACTGGGTAAGCTCAGTTTATATGATAGATAAATATAGGGCAAAGATGTAAATAAAATTCTAGATTATGACAATAGTAAGTAGTTGGAAATATCAAAACCTAATAGTGGTACGTGTACATACAGAAGTAAATGTTTAGAACATTTTTGCCTAGTGATATTAAAACAACAAATAACATCTCAGAGGTCGTAAAATCGTATCAGGGCAATATAAAAAAATGTGAATCAATGGTTCCATAGGCCGCACGAAGAGACCACAGGAAGAAGTTATTAAATAGTTTACTGAAAAATTCGTGTTTAAACAAGTAAACGGCAAATAAAAACATTTTGAAGATAGAGGAACCCCATCTCATATCTCTCAGGACCATCATCATCATCCCCATGCCATAGAATATTGTATTTCATTTTATGGCTATCTCTTTAGTTACTACGACAGAAAATTAACATCAACGTTGCAACACTAGACATGCGTGAGGTATCACGCATTTACATATTAACAATATTACCAAGGAATTAGGCGTAGTCTATAGATTATGGTATGTTATAGATAGATAGATAGGAATAACATGTTCATGTTAAATAAAATTACGTGTGTCAATAATATCTAAAAACTGACATTGTTAATTCTCCAATCGATTTTGCGAAATGGATTGCTTCCTAAATCCAGCAATGTTCAATGCCAAAAGATAATAATCATTAATATGATAAAAAATAAGAATTCATATAGTCTTTAAATTATCTATATATATTTAAAGACAGTTACATTTAGCGCGTACATTCTTACACATTAGATATTTACAGAAAAAGGACAATAAATATATTGAAAAATTATGTTTATGTCACAGACTTTTAAAATACATAAATATACATGAACCTTCAAACAATAGTATTAAGATCCCAACAGACTAAAAATGGCACTAGAGGCATTAGGAAGTTAAACAATTAATTATTATTTAAACTATCGGGATAGGCTTTCTCGCTTTCACCAGTTCCTCCGAGACCTCCCAGAGTTTCTTTTCCACATCTTTATCAATTGTATGACTGGAATCGTACTCGCTACAATCTCTGTAAAATCTGCCAGTTACACCTTCAATTCTGTAGTCACTGGCACAGTATACCACTGTTTCGGAGCCCTGCAAAGTACAAGTAATCTTTTATAATAATATCAAGATTCACAAAAAAAAAATATCTAAGGCGTAAAATATAATAAAAAAAATTAAAAGTGTTTACAATTCTTATAAACTTTATTGATTTGAATTATTAATAATTAAAATCACAGTGTTCTTCATACTATTTTTAATACGGCCTTATAAGGTACTAGACTGTAACTTAAGTAAGACTTAAGTCCGTGATTTGCAGGACAATAATCTGCATATTCTGCCAAACTGAAGAGGAAACGCCGCTTCACATCCTATGTGGTCGTAGCCCACTCAAGCATAAACGAAATATCTCCTTTGGAAAGTTTACACTCTTTGCCGAGGAGATAAAAACCATCGCTCCTAAGAATATCCTTCAACCCTGACGGGTCTAGGTAGCGAACTTTGAAAAAGGGAGAGCACAATAGATCTATGTAGGTCGTAGGGCTACAGGTGCTACAAACATCTGATAATAGCCCAAACAACCCAATAAAAAAGAAAGTCCGTGATTTACGAAACAGACGTAAACTAAAAAAAATGTTATAATATTGTAGACCAGGTCTCACAAATAATTGTCGCCAAAGGTACAGAATGTACATGTTGTAGTAAATCGGTTAAATCCAATTAAAGGGCACTTTTTTATGCATTTGGAATGGCATCGAGCAGACGGTCCACTTGATGGATGGTGGTAACCGTCCCCTTTATACATATATAGCACTACGGACATCGCGTTAGCATGACATCCGGGATTTCACTTATGTTTATGTCATATCAGAGGATTAAGTCTAATACCTCTAATCCAGTAATTTCACTGCCTTACAACTAAAACATAGTTTTAAATCAAACTGTTGGGCGGCCGAAATAAGTGAGAATCAGAGAATCTATTTGGTTTTACGGAAACGCCTATATACCGACTGGCCTGTTGGTTAGCTGTATGCTCGATCTCATACTGTATGAAATATAAATTAAATTACAAAATAAATTCATTGACATTTTTAGTATCAGCTGGATTAAGATAACATACTATTAATTTGTACTCAATCATAACATAATATGAAATTAAAAAGAAGATAAGAGATAACAATTAACGGTCTTATCGTTTTAAGCGTGACCTCTTTCAAATAAAAACAATGTTGATCTTGGGGTCATCACGTAAATGATATGTTAAAACGTATCGATGTCACGTTTTGGTTAAATTCATTCATAAAATCTTATTATACGTACACTTTATCTTGGAGTTAGATGTATCTTGAAGATATATATAAAATCATATCAAAGATAAAGTCTGATCATCAGTGCACGTATTTCTATTGATAATCTATGGAAGTTATGGAACGAAATATGGATTGCTTTGCGAACAATTTTATGTGGATTATGAATAGAGTTCCCTAGTGCGATATAATTCAGTTTTCCAATAATTCCGATACTTTATTATTGTACAGAAGAATAATGAAGTAACGGACATAGAAGAACCAATAAGAGATGGAGATGACAGACTTTCGAATATGGACCTTGTGTAGACTGACAGAAAGTATTCATGCAAACATATCTTTGCCTACTGCCACATCATTCGAAGGAGGGTTTATTTTCAATGAATAAATGATATCAATAGATGCGACAGGTATATTCAAAAAGCTGCATGAGTGACAAAGAAGCAGTTCAACAGTGGACTATAAATTACTATAATTGATATTGATATAATATGTATAAAGACGCTTACTTGTTTAGCTGATCTCATGTATAGCAGGCACACTGGAGCCATTAAAATGTAGTGGTACCATCTGATAGTATTTCTGGATAAAAAAAAGGTATTTCAGTAATATGACAGACCTTCTCTTCATGGATTCTTTAAGGTCAGATAAGTAATATGATTGTGTTGAATAAAATTATTTGTAGTCATTATAAATGAAGTTTAAACGTCATTAGGAAATATAAATATAGTCAATAATAGTTGGCATTGTAATCAGTAATATTGTTTGTGCATCTAAATTGTAATGACCTATTGTAAATAATTGTATAATTGTAATAAAAGAGCTTAGCAAAATCACGTATAAAGGTGATAAGGATTTTGCTTCTGATTTACCCTTAGATGTTTTTATTACATACAAGTAAATGTAACAAATAAATCTTAGTCATTTTTTAGAAATATACATACATACGACAGAAATATTATTTTCTGATACAATGTTAAGGTTTTGATAAATAAAATATTGTTACTATTAATTTTATTTCTCTTGGTTATTGCACCACAGCATGTGTTAGTACATCATGATAAAACATAGTATAAGCATAAAGTTTAATCTAAATCTGATTAGTTGTTTAAACATTTGTGAGTATTTGATCTTAAAGAATTTATTTTATAAAAAGAAATAATCCAATATTGATAATAATTTCTGATTAGTGATAGTAACAGCAGCATATATATATATATATAATTTCGTAGGCACTATTCTTTGTCTACTTAATAAGGCTGCTGCGCTTCTGTGATGAGCTATATATACACATACATTACATAATAAGGGAACTGACATGGAAATTTTCATAGGAATTGTAAGATATATATGTATATTAAATAGGTACCTGAACAAGCCAGTATTGCAGAATCCTGGACAGCAAGCATTAACATCAATACCAGATCCACCGAGCCGTTCCGTCAAAGCTTTCATATGATAGTAGTTCATCAATTTGGAGTTGCAGTAGCCAGGGTTGTGGCGACTACTCTTCCCCCTTTTGGCCTCTTCTATCTCTGCTTTAAGATTCAGATCGTCAAAGTTGATTTGACCTTTCTCATGAAGAGTAGATGATACTATGACTATTCTGTAATATAAAAATGTTATCTATTTAAACAATGGGTAGTTTGATTATTAATTATAAGTTGATTAATGTGAGGATACTTTTGCAATTGTTATGAATATTAAATGAGTTTTATTATCCAATCGCAACCAAGCTGTAACATTTAAAATTATTTCATTCAACTATGAAAAACAATTCATACAGTGCCATCTAGTCCCAAGTTAAACTGAGCTTGTGTCATAGATTCTATATAATGATATGAAATATTGAAATACATTATGTTTAGTAAATATATACATAAAATACACCTGAGTGTATTTTTATGTATATATTTATTTTTATTTACCGGCATTATATTGATCTGAATCAATACAAGCAATCATAGTCATGAATACAAAATGTCTGCATTGTGCAAGGAATTGAACCTGCGACCATTGGAAGAAAGAGGTGTGCTAAATTGCAGGCAAAGGCAATTGAGGCAGTCAGACAATTGTTAACACCTAATAACTGACAGTGTGTCTAGGTTTATTGGTTTACTATCAATGTATATATTAACTAAAGGACTGACTTACAAGAGTCACAGAAAACTTGCTTATAATATATAAATTTATATACGGAAGTCAGGAATTTTGAATTGGTATCTTAATGCAAATAATTTTATGGTAAATGTGGCTTTTGTACTTTATTACTAATGTTACCTGCTAGGTGTAGCCCTTCTCAGGTGATCTAATAACAAATTTGTCAAATGAAAGTGTCCTAAGTAGTTCACTCCAAAATGTATCTCAAATCCATCTTTGGTTTTTAAATCTTGTTTCAATGGTGCATAAACACCAGCATTATTAATTAGAACATCTATTTTGTTGAAGCCTGCTTTTATCACTTCTACAAACTTCTCAATAGAGTCCAATGATGATAGATCCAAGTGTATGGGTATCTGCAAAAGATTCATTAATAACTTTAATAATACAGTAATAAAAAAATGTTTTATGTAATGTATATTTAGAAAATTGGTTGTAAGATTTACAAAACTTAAAATTTAGGAAACTATCAAGACAACAAATATTTAATAAAAAAAAATAAAAAATAAATAGTGTGATTTATGTTCTAAGTCTAAATAGAATAGTATATACTTATTAACAAAAAAAAGTCGAACCTTTCAACTGTTAGTTGTCAAATTGACATTAACCCCATCTGTGAGACCAATTACTGGACTTCTCATAGATCCAAGTTAAATAATTGCAGATGAGAGCATAATATGTATAAATTATTATTTATAAATATCTGAAGTTGTTCAGAAAAATATAGTGTTCCTATTTTCAGTTAAACTACATATATAATTATCATTTATCTGTGTTGCAGTATACATGATACAATATTCTATGTAGGTCCTATTGGCATCATTAAAGTTGCATATTACATTTTAAAGCATGGCTTAAAATATAAAATATTATTTGATACTTCAATGAATTGTTAATATGATCATGTTATTTATGATAGTTCAGAAGTACTCTCTTATATTATCAATATACTTTGAGATAATAGATTCATTTCAGTTTGGAAGAAAATCTTCAGGAATGTTAAACAAGAATAAAATATACATTTTTAACTGTAATAAATAGTTTGAATCCTGTGTTGAACCCTTAAACTTTGTACTTCTGAATTCTAATTGTAATATATTATAAAAACATTTACTTAGTTACAGAATATATTTCTCAAGCTTCATCAACCTTTCACACATTTACATTTTTTAATGTACACAGTCCAACGCAATGATTGGATGTACGTGGATGTACTCACCAATTCTCCTCCCCTTGGTTGCTTCTTCCTAATATCAGCGACAATCTCTTTTGCCTTGTCCATATCCCGACAAGCGAGTATCACTCGCGCCTTTCTATACACTAGAGCTTTAGCAGTTTCCATACCGATACCGCTGCTGGCTCCAGTGATCAGGAAAGTTTTACCTCTCAAACAAGTATTGCTTGCACACTTCGCCCAGTTCCTTGATCTCCATTTGCGCACTAAACTTATTGCCACTACCACTGAAATTGGCACAGCTACATACAATACCGACTGCGACACCATTGCTTAATGTTTAATTGTGTTAACTTTATTAAGTTATATAATTATTTTACACAAGTTTCTTAGAAGTGGTAATGATGTGAAGTGAACAATGAGACGAATGAACAATTCTACAGTCCAAAACTACAAACACAACATACAAGTAGGATAGTAGAAAGAGACTGACAACTGACAGACAGTACGCAACAAACGTCACACTAAAATATAAAAAAAATCGATTCGTACAGATTAATCAATAATTAGTTACGTCAGTCACTGTACAAAATTATTTTTTGTGTGAAACTAATTAACTATTTTTCGCATATACAACCTAGTTTCACTTAAGATAATATTATTTTAGACTGAAACGGTACAAGAGTCTTCTTTTGTAGTATCGGTGCCGACTCGTATAGAATGTAGTATTAATTGCTCTGTGGCATACTGTGTTCGAATATTTAAAATAGATATTGTTGTAGATTAATGTTATCTTCAAATCAAATCTTTGAGTAATAAAATATCTGGCACGTATATGCAGAATTAAAATATAAGGTTCTGAGGACCTCATTGTTTGTGTGGTGTGAATTAAAGGCCTCCTTATGGTAATGGTTAACTCTATGATGACAAAATTGCGTGTCTTAATTAACTGCAAAGAATGTACTATTTGTCCTATTTTTTTCTGACTATTCTAATGCTGTTGGCGCTGTTGCCCGCAGCTGGGCAACGGACGAGTACAGATGGCACTCCAAACTCGCGGAAAGACTTATGGAGTGGCTGAAAGGCAACTCCAGCCTGACGAATACAACTTTCGTCTGAGGGCACCGATAAGGGTTTGAACCTGGGCTCAGGCCGTCGCAATTTCAATCCCCGATTGAATTGGACGGGGGAATGAATGGAGAGGGATTTATAAATATGTCAACTGTACATTGGTACATAGTACATAGTATAGGATGAATACCTTTTTTTACTTATCCTCCTTAATAGGAAGCAGGAGAACGCCCGCGAGTGCCCCGGATAGGTCGACATGTTGATACGGTGATGGCATTGTTTGTATGTAATTCCACAAATAACATTAACAATTATAGTTTTTTTTAGCAACTATAAAAAAGTTATTCCCATATCTCTCTATTGGCAATTTTTTGGGATGTGATGGAATAGGGAAAAATTTGACAGACAATTTATTATTTTAATTTTTTTATGTAATTTAAATGGCAAACAAGGTCGTCAGCTTCAGGGCCGTCGTCCAATAGATGGTAAGCGGTATCTAACCGTATAACCATGAACTGCACTACGGCGATTACGATCATATAACACCGCTCACGTGTTGCCATTTTAGAGGACTAAGATGTTTTGCCTCTTATATCTCGTAATTTTATGGTCTAATCTGCATTCTAAAACCGAAACAGCTTACAAAGCAAGTGGCTCTTCTGCTGAGGACATTTTACAGAAATCACATTATTCGTTTTTAAATACCGTTTTTTCCATAGACTAGTACTATAGTTTTTATCATCCGACCAAGTTTGAATGGAGAAAAGACCTTATAAAAATTAAAAGATTCAGTGGTCTAGAGAGCCATCATACTGCATAAATATACCTAGTCACTTTCGTGAGCAGGCGATAATTGTTCTTAAACAGGGGTAGGTTATCAGGAAAGCGTTACCACTTTGTAATCCATACTATTTAATGTAGATAAATCTTTATACATTTTTATTTATAATATGTAATTAAAAAACGTTTAAAGAACCCAAGCAAATAAATCACAATTACCTATAATTACCAATAACTAGGTATATTTATCATACCGGTGAATCATGTAGATAAGTAAAAGGTACTTAATCAGTATTAGTATGTGATACGTCCTATATTGTCTACATAAGTCCAAATATATACGTAGCAGATAATGTAAACGTATCGGATAGGGTAATCACACTAATGCATTTATACGCTTTTAAATACACGTAATCTGAATATGAAGTATGTACACTGTGGGTACTTAGTTTTAATCAGAGATATTAAAGCCTTCTCTTTATATTCTCTAGAGTCTATGGTTAATATTGATATTAATATCACATACAGCTATAAGGTGTTCATCATGCTGCTGGAACTGTGCGAATTTAATCATCTGTGGCGATTCAGACATTGTATTGCGCGGGAAAATAAAATATTTCTTCATTATAAATACTTCTTTTGGAGATAGACTATTTTCTTTGAATAGTTAAATATATTACTTATTCAAGTCTATGTATAATAGATATTTATGTAATTAAATTATAGAGACCAATGAATAAAGGTACCACAATCCATTGAATAATATTGGACCCTCCAAAAGATTTATATGAAACCAATGCCATCTTTTATTCATTATTTGTGGGGAGGGGATTGTTAGTAGCGGGACTAGAGGACCAATTAATAGCGATGTATCATGTCATAACGATATCCACTTTGTTTTTCAAACTTATTGAATATTTACTTATTGTGTGATAAAGCTTCAGCTTTATCACACAATAAGTAAATTTAGTTTGTTCGCCACACTTATTAACAAACTAATGGGGGACCGTTAGTTTGTCATTCAAGTTAGTTTGTTATCAAGACATCATCCAAAGTGGATGTACCACTGAACTGTACAAAGGACTAATGACATCGCCTCCACAGATCCATAGGTGGGTGTAATTTAAATAAAAATATGCAAAATATATTTAGATGGGCCGTTTATTTGAAATACATATAAGGACAACTAGATATAAAATCTGTATTCCAGACTATGAAAAACAATTGATATGGCAACATTATGAATATAATAATATATGAAACATTATCTTTTTATACGAGGCGTTTACAATAAGTTATGTATAACATTATATAATAGGTAGATGTAGTAGATTAGTACAAAACTTCCTAAATTATTAGTAAGGTACTTTTAAAATAATTAAAAACAATAATTCTATGGAATGTTTAAATGTTGAATAATGTATATAAATTATATCAACAGCACAATTTTCATAGTAAACTAATAGGAAAAATTTTAAAAATATTTTAGATAGAATATAAGAAATGCGATATAATCCAATAATCCCATACTATATAATAACAAGTCATTAACAATACATTGTTGGCCATGGTTTTAGCCCATTTAATAATGATTTTGGGTTGCTTGGTACAGGATAGGTAATATTTCGATTGATTAAATTATTAGAAATTTATCCGATATTATAATAAATTAAATAGTTTACTATGATTGTGTAATAAATCATATAGTTAATACACACATTTTAAATCATAGATAGATATTCCAGGTGGTATGGTGCACGTCGAGGTATTATGCTGTGATATACACTAATAAGTACTTTGTCATTGTGATATTATTGAAAATTGCCAATATTTAGAAGCAGTTCCTTAACATAGTCATTGTAACAAAGTATAAAATTATTTGGTGGCGATTATCATCATAATTGAGTAGACACAGCACTTGTCTACAATTATGGTAATACAACTGCAATGCAACCAGTTACTCGTTAGATTCTCACTAGCCTCTTAAAACTGTTTTGTTAGTAAAAACGAAATATATATTACCGTAAATATGGAAAGTATTACTGTAAAATACTGTACAATATTTTTTATTTATGAATCGTAAATAACAGCAAAGGAATAACTACTTATTCATATTTTCTTTTCGCATGTGAATATTTTTTTGGTGTCTTCTCTAGTAAACTAGCTGAATAATACCTCAATGAAATAGTACAGCATTTTATTAACATTGGTACCTGTAAATGGGTATATGGTTCATCTGAAAGAATATGCAAATTCATATTCTTTCAGATACACACAATTAAGATACAAAGTATGTTTTTATCTTCGGTATATCTGTGACCCAAATTTTATTGAAATCCGTCCAACCACTTTGGTATGATTTGGCAAAAGAGATCTGTAGGAATTTCGTGATCGTCATTTTTAACAAGTTTCTATGTGAAAACTTCACTAGTATATGAGTTACCATTTCAGAATAGCCCTATTGATTGATTGAAATTAATTAATATATTGCTGTACTATACTTATTCCGATACCAATCTGGAAGTAATTAGATCTAGATGTTTATCAGATTGTAGGATAATAAAAATAATGTGTATTAAAAATAATCATAATTTGGTTTCAGAACACAGTACCTAACTATTTACATAACATTATAACCTAATGTATTTGATATAATATTTTGTTTGAATTATCATAAGTAGGTATATTATAGGCATTATTTTAACATCGATCTGTTCTTACAATATATTGGCACTACATAAAGTTAAAACGATAACTATTTTTTGTGCCGTGTGTAACAACCTATTACATGGAATGTACATACTTTAATAACGTCTTCATTTAAAATACAGTAAAATTTTTGAGAAATAATGACAAGAGGGAGCATTAAATATGGTAAAATCTTCCAAAATATGCTAGTTAATTTATTTGACCAAAACGCGTTTATTTTTTATAAAAAATGGCGCCATTTTTTCGGTGCTGCAAGTAATTACATTGTTTAATTTTTTATTAATGGCAACTTATTGGCTCTCAGAGTAGGACGACATTTTGCCAAGTAATAGATTATACTAGATTTATAATCAGATTTAATTCCGAGTGTCAGAAGCATCAGTAGAGCGGATAAATCCTATTATAATTTGTGTATAGCGTACACAAATTATGTATAATAGGATTTATATGTTCCATTCATATTACATTCTTACCGTATATGATCTATTGTCATCTAATTGAGGGATTATATAATCAGACAATATGAAATTGTGATTACTTCATATATAGACAGTAACTGTAAGAAACATCTATGGCTAATGGCAATGCAAATCGCTGGAGCCAAAAGAAGAAAAAATAGAAACATGTAAAATTGCAACACCTTAAAAAATAAGTGTATATATAATATACTCGTATAAATTCCAGATTTTTATTTGGCAATTTTACATTCCGTAGTTATAATAAAAAAATCAATCACACAATTGTGTCTTCCTCAAATTAGTAAACCCTAAGTTGTAAAAAATTTCAGACGATTCTCATTTGCAGATTTGTTTTCTAAATTACTAGAATTTAGAAAACAAATCGGCAAATTGGATTCTAGAATTTTAAATATTTAGAAAAATTTCTAATGATTCAAAAATCAAATTCAGCAATTTATTTATATATAAACAACACACCAATGCGATATTGACGTAATTAGTAACCAAGCCTGGAGATAATAACTAAAGTAAGCACATTTATTAAGATATTACATATTTTTTACAGGAATGGTTAAGTCCAAGATAAAGAAGAAGAATATCTAATATATATTCTTACAATCAGCACATTCTGATTAAAACGAACATGACAAATGTAGAATAATTTACCTACTTACTTTTTTATTTTCCGTACCTGGCTTCCTGCAATTGCCTCATATTTTTGACATAAAATGGCAATCATTTTAACAGAAACTATCTATATGCTGGTTTTGCCTTTACGTCTCAATGAATATACTCTGCTTCAATTTCCATGCCATTCTCATATGTATTAAATCTTCTATCTAAAGACAAAATGTTAGAAATATTTTTGTAAGTACCTACATCTCACTATTCGCTCACATGCATTTATAAGCCTTTATTTTTGTATAAAAATTACTTTTTGAATAGTTAAAAGCATATTTATATTCTTTACAGTTAAAAATTTTAGTTCTTTCAGTACCACATATTTAGCATTGCAGCAAGTTAATATAATTTAAATTTAAAAACTATTGTCAAATCTCAGAAACACTACAATTACAATAAATGTTCAATCTAGATAACTTCAAATAAAGTACCTTGTAACATATTCTATAATACAACAATGTATAATTTCCCTAAATAATGCAAAATAAGTGCACATTTATTTTTAAAGATGAAAATAACAATGTATTAAAATAGGACAAGATTTAAAAACTTGCGCTCTGTTACACCATAAACATTTTTCCTTGATGGTATTCTGGCTTTTACAAACTCAGGCATTATTTTAATAATCATTAAACGTCATATGTATGATCTTATTTTGTTGTAAGATATGACGACATCGACATTCTTGTATACACGGCATTACTTCACTCTGCAAATATTGAATAAATATGCGAGTCACGGCCTGTATCTTCAACTTACATAAGTAGGTACAATCTAAAATAATCATAAAATTTTAAGGGCACATTAAACATTACTTCATTCCACACACGAGATTCATAATCGAATTAAAATTTAAATAATAAGTCTAAATTTTATTTGATAAGAAGCATTGTGACATGATCGTAGCACATTTTTCTCTTCTTTGTTTAGAGGTAGCAATCGTTAGTTGACCAAATGCTAGCGCACTCTACATGGGAGTAGATAACTGGTGTTTCGACCTGTCCACGCCTACATCTACCGTCACAACTTTTCCATCTACGGGCGTAACACTGTCCACCTCACTGTCTGGCATGATCACACACATAAATGACTTTCCACTGGTCACATCTTTAGGATATATAGTCATAGGAATGAACCTATCACTCGTACCATCCACGTACGCAACCAACCTCGAGTACACTTCCGGAAAGTGCTTTTTCAACGCTACCCCACGTTTTTCAAGCTCGTTCATTATGTTATGGAAGCATATTTCCCTAAACTTATGAGCTGTTGCAGCATTCTTCTCTCCTGCGTTGCACAATTTAGATGTTAAAATCAATGTTTCTCTATCATCTGGCGTACCCTTGCTGTCTCTTCTGTGTCGCCGTCGATTCTGTTCCTGTATGGCAACCGTCACTGTTTTACTCAGTCGCAACTTTGCACATCTAGACACCATTTGCCTCTCCCATTTAACAGCGCCCTTTGTCGGTACTTCACTAATAATACACACGGCCACATATAAAATAACCCTTGTTTCCGGATTATAAGCTTTGCATAACTTCACTACTTCGGTATATAATTCCACGCCCATTTCATTGGGTTGGAGAGAGGTCCACTTAAGATATTCGGGTTCTGTTAAGTACTGGAAGCCGTGAGTGGTAAATTTTTCTGCTGCTTCGGGACTCGTGAAAAAAACTTTTACCACTCCTCTCCCGAAATTTAAATATCCTTTGTGGCCTATTGTACTTATCTGATGCAATGAATCAGCGTCCTCTTTTGCGGCGGATATAATTTGTCTACACAAAGCACTTGCTCGGGAATGTAAGCAGACTTTTCTATGTTTTTCCCAATGCGCTCTCCTGCATTCTCTTGAGCAATACATTGTCGTACAATTATGGCACGTTTTATAATGCCTTTTGGCATCTGCTAAAGGAGCACGAGAAGAACATTTAGGGTATTTACATTTGACAAACGCTTCGTCTGTACTGTTCTCTGTCTGTAATGAAGCTAGGGAGACTTTGGAGTCATGGTGAATTAATTGGGATTCGGAAGGACGTAATGCTGCGGCGTCCAGGCTAGTGCGACGGTCGAAAGAGACGCTCGGCTGAGCGAAGGGCTCACTCCGTCGACGTGAGTGCTCGCCGTGCGCTGAACGCGACCGCCTCGACCCTTGCATTGCTGCAGGATTATCAACTGTATCCTTGCCTGCAATTGTAAAATATGACTAAGTACCGGTGTAAAATATTTTATAATATAAATATCTAACATTTTCAATTTTTAAGACTCAGGACCATTGTTATAATAAAATTAAATTTGTACCATATAAAATCAAATTAACAAAATTCGATAAACATGCTAACGGGGACAAACCATGCCACTATCACAATATCAACAAGTAGCCGGAGGGTACGTACACACACAGTAGAAATAGGCTGGACGTACTTACAGTACATTCTTAAGGTGTTTGTCTGTTTTTCTGTACATTTGCAAAAGCTTAAAATAAATACAGTAGCAGTACATAGAGATATTGCGCAAAGTAATTATTACGCAAAATTAAAACATAATTGCCAATAAAGTAAAACTTACAAAAATAATAGATAATTGAGAGATAATGACATATGAATTGATCGGTAGATTAATTTTACCTAATACATTATTAACACTTTGTAATTCTGATTAAGCAGTGGGCTATTCGGTGCAAGTTTAGTGTATCATGGAGATATGAAAGTGCGTTTCTCCAAAACATCGATATAACTTGAAATTTGCGTTAAGTTTTGTTTGATCCGGTGACGAAATAGTGAGGTAATAGTTGATTAATTAATAATTCCATTTACGTCTGCTAGTAAAATAAGTATTGAATATGACCATATTTTTTATTTTAAACCGACTTAAAATACAAATATTGTATGGATTTTGATAAGATATCTCCCGTGTTAGGTAACAGATTTCATGTTTTTTTTTCTTCAAGCAAAGAATAAACTAAGTACTGATAAAGTTATACTATTTTATTAGAAAATGAAGGTCTCTTTTTATTATTTCACTCAAAATCAAACAAGTAAACTGAACTCAAGTTACTCAATGGCTGGTAAAGTCGTGTTAGGTAAATATAAAAATTGGAACGGCCGAGACTTACATATCGTTCCTACCTGGTCGGTCGCGGTCTGGACTAGGATCCGTGGCAGAACTTCGACCCTCGCTCGGAGTACCAATGAACCGAGAAGCTGGCGAGCTGCTACTATGCCCGCTGCTAGCTAGCTGTTCGTATCGAGGGCTCTGCGAGGAAAAGTTGTAGTATCTACACCAATTAGCCTTACCAGAGACGATATTGTTTCGTTTTTGTGTAAGCAAACAAGCTGACGGCCCACTCGATGCTAAGCGGTACCCGTCCCCCATACATCGGTGAACACCGGTGTGATCACGTTATCATGTGACATCTATGATGCCAATCATGCATTGGCCTTTCTAGAGGACTAAGATGTCATGCATCTTATCCTATAATTTCAATATATCTCATTTTCTTATATCCGTGATTTATTCTATAATTCATTAAAATTTACTTCCTTTTTTAGGAATACGTCTACGTGTAATATTTCAACTACTATAAACTAATTATTTTATTAAATACAGGAAAAACATAATTCAATTGTATTTTTGTATAAGCAGATATGTTTTCCATTTTAATGAAATAATTTCAAAGGCAAAAGAGTGCCTGTTTTGTTATGAATTAATATAATTCGATTCCATAGAACAGCTTTCTCTTGTGTCTCAGCAAACTGTGAAAGTATTTTCGTGAAATGGTACGGAAGTGTGTACCTAGAAGTTGGGAAAGCGCGCGCTATTTGATTTGACCAATGAGATCGGAGGGTTCTACAGTTGCAGTCAGAAACCAACCTATGTTCAGAGAGTATGTATTAAATATCAGACATGTTTTAGCGCTTATTTATATTTTTTATTTCAAAAATATTTGGTTTTTCTTTTGCAGTTACGGAATCCAAAAATAAATTAAATTAATTTATGCATGATTATGTAACAATGTACCAAAAATATTTATATATAATAATTGCATTTAGAATATATTACTATGATTACGATCTTGTTGGAAACTTTGTGACAATTTGTATTGGTATATCTTATCATAATTAGGCACATTATCCGTTAGTCATCATGACTTTAATAAGTAAGCATTGATATTAATATTGCATAGGTAATATTCACGATTTAATAATTGTATTAAAAAAAACACTGATATTTCTATTTAGAAATATAAGGTACTAGCTGTGCCCGCGATTTCACCGTATATGTGTTCGTTCTATGTCATTCTGATGCATAAGCTATATTACTGTTCATCAAAATCCGTTGAGTAGTTTTTGCGTGAAAGAGTAACAAACATCCATAATCAAAAACTTTCGCGTTTATAATATTATTATTAAGATTAAGATTTAAATTCGTTTTTTATAAGAGATTAGATACACCCATATTCCACGGGAACATTATGTGCGTTGGGAGTTAAGACTTGACGGGTATGAAGTCTTGATGATATGAGAAAGATGGATTCAATTAATAGCTTACTATAACGGTGTCGGTGATCTAGCGATTTAGCACAGCGTCTTACTTTCGATGATCGCGGGTTCAATTCGGAACGGTACAAACATTTGTATTCATGAGTACGATTGTTTGTATTGGTCTGGGTGTTTTCTATATACATTATGTATTTATAAAAAAATATCTATGTAGGTTGTTATATCATTTAATTAACACCCATAACACAAGCTCTGTGTTATGGATGTTTGGGAACTATAGCACTGCGACCTGTAGAGATATATTGTGCTCGCCCTTTTTCATAGTTCCTAGACCCGTCAGGGACAAGAAATAAACGAAATTTTAGGTGTGTTTTTCCAGAGGATATGTAGTGGCGTTTGCTCTTCCCTTTAGAAAAATCTGCAATGCGGATTTTGATATACCTACGCAAAAGTGTATGCAAACTTTGCTTTTTTTTAATTCAGATGGACTTGTAAAGTTAAATAGAAAATAAAAATATACCTTTCCACCTATTAGATAATACGGACTCGTCGATTTCCTAGGACTCGGTTGGGGTGTGGGTATCCTCGTCGGCTGTGATGGTAGTCCCAACAGTGAGTCTAGTACATCCTCGAGCGTTGTCGACCCGGGGGATGGTCTTGCAATGCCCAAGTTCAGAGAACGCTGGGAGTCTTGCCAGTCTGTGAACAGGCGTGGTCACTAAACAGATTTTGGAGGTATTGCTTGCGTTAGGATTTTGTTAATCTTTTGACCACTAATAATATAATATTGTGTCCAGTGTTAGAATTATAATTAGACAAGTCGTTATAAAATACTATAGCTGTGCGGGAAAAAATATCTTAGAATAATTTAAAATATGGCTTATATGTGTACAACATTAGTAATTAATTGGATTGGCAATCAAGCTAGCCCATTTGATTGTATGTGGTAAGAGTAACCTTTATAAATGAACAGCTACTGAACTGCTACAATATTAGGTTATCATATCACGACCGTGATACTATTCATGGGTTGCCATTCCTGAGTACTAAGAGGGCATGTTTTTTATCTTGTATTATTGACTTTGATCTTGATCTGATTTGTTCGAACAAAACATCTCTTACCAGCTTGGCAGCTGGAATAGTAAGACATAAGACAGTGTTACCCAAGCAGGTATGAGGATCTGTTCAGTAGTTTTAGCGTAAAGGAGTAACAAACATCCATCCATCCTTAAACTTTCGCGATTGTAATATTGGTATTATATACATATAGATATGTGCACGATTACGATACCAATATAGATTAGATGACGCCATCAAACCTAGACTATATTTATATTTTTTAGATATTACTTGGGTGCTCTGTTGGTTCATATTGGAATGAAGTAATAAAGAGTACAAGTCATAAATTAATCTTTTGATATCACGAGGCACCATTTATACCACTCATCTCTGACTTTTTTAGTACACATCTTTGTATTCCATTTTAGACAAAGCAAACCAATTAAACCTTACGTGGTCATAATAATAGAATTAGAGAAAAGAGTTCGAAATGGTTTGGGTAGGTAGGATCTCTCTCTTAGCTATTTACATCAACATCTTCTTCTTCCTTATCCCATTTAATTGGGGTCGGCGTAATATGTTTTTCGTTTCCAGACAGATTAATATTAAAAATTTTGAATTTTTATATAATTGTTGCAGTTTGAAGTGATAAGTCAATGAAATTATAAAAGAGGTATCATGTGCTGTTCATGTATATAGGCGACGGTTACATTCCTTTAAGTGAATCTATTACCATCTTCAGTATTCCAGTCACATAATTATATGTTGTATCAGAGGTGCGTATTAGAATGGAAAACTATAATGAAATTGCTACCGAGCGACGCAAAAATTAAGGCTCATATTTGAAGATTGTTGAATGATTGTAAATACAGGGTATACTAAGTCCAAATCCAGTGACATTAATACATACATACTTCGATTTCTACTTTATTCCTTAGTAAAATGATTCAATTTCGGCTGTAACATATCTGGCTCTTAATTTGGTACACATTATATACATAGATATTAATATTACTTTTATTTGTAGGTACTTACGTCATACCTTTTACCATTCGCTTAGATAGACATAACTTATTAAATTATTATGCAATGTATTTAGTTATATTAAAAATAATTGTGAAATTATTTTAATAAAGTGAAGTGGTCGAAAGATTAACGTTTTTACGAGGTTGAAATAGTAAATAAAGGTTCTTGTGCCCATAGCAGTATAAAAATTAGTGGTGCAAAAATATTGTTAAGTGAGTAGATATAAGTAAGTATAAACAAGCAAAGAATATATGTAAAAATTAATTAAATTGTTAGAATATTACAACCCGTAATACAATACTGAATCTACTGCTAAATTACTAATTGTAAAATCGACTAAAGTTTTAATTTAAAAGGATATTTTCTTAAAAAATTTTGTTAAGCAGATCTTTTTATTGCCGATGAATGAGATTAATTAGTTTGTTATAATAAAAAACATTTTGTGGGCAAAATACGATAGGTCCTATTTCTTGAGGTCGTATTTCTACTAATAAATAGGGAGTAATTTGGTTGTGCTATATAAATTTTAAATATTAAATAGGAAATAAATGTGCAGTTTGTACAGGCAGTGTATGATATAATCACATCTGAGTATTTATTGGATATCTAAATATAGACAAAGTATACATTTTATGAGGTGAATACTTACTCTGTTAGTCGCGTATAGAACTCGTTGAAAAGATATTATACTGTTAAAATAAATATAATTCTTCAAAATAAAGACGTCACCAAAATAAAAATAAAACAAAATGTATAAAATAAAAATGAATATATTCAATAACCATTATAATTATAACTAAAACATTAACTAACGTACGTACATTGATCGAATAGTAGTAAACTTGAAGACTGTCCTTTATTGTAGTCTCCAATTGATATAAATACAAGGAAGGTACCGAGATTCATATAACATACATATCTATGTAATTACAACAATAATTAGATAATATAGATTTATTAACTGGAATTTTATATCGTGATAAATGTAGAGAGCTAACAGTAACTAATGAAGTCTGAATAAATAAATGTTAAGAATACTATTGTTAATTTAAAAAAGCATCTAATTTCTAAACGTTTAGTTATATAACTAAACATTCGTGGCGCGTATTCGAAACGTTATTTTTTTCGGCGGTGCGAATTTTAAACGCGAATTTGTATTTTTCTAACCTAATCAGAACCTGAGTAATTTACTTGAGAACTGGTTGCAGTCCTAATATAAATTACGAGGTGATTTGAGTAGAAGGAACTTGAATTTTTTAGACATCAGTCTTAAATGTCACTTCTCACCACCACGCTATAATATGGTTCTGATAACTGTTGCCTTAATATTATATATATAAGTAGGCAATAACTATTGTTTTGTGACTTATTAAAGCTTAGTTGTTATGACTGAATATATAAAAAGCAAAAGTAAATAGGTACGTAAAAGAATAAGTATTTGAAATTAAACACAAATAAAAAATAATATTTCATAAGTTAGCACCTAAAATAATAATAGCAACATACTATTTTATTTACAACATTGTGTACTAGCATAAAACTATTAACTAAAGAATTATAAAATAAAACACACAAAACAAATAAATTACTCTGTACATCGGATGATATTATTAAAAAAGAACTGGATTTCGTTAGCTATGGATTATAATTATGGCAATATCACTAAAACAAAAAAATATCTTATCTATTGACTATTTGAATCATTTTAGGTACCATATTTACCAATGTAAACACTTTTAAGTATATTTTTGAAATTTGTAGTAGCTTAACAACAGCACTTAACAAAAATGGATAGAATAGTGTATGTTTAGTAAGTAATTTAAATTTAAACTTGGCGAGTACTTGGAAAAATACTATACTGTTATGACATTGAATCCTTATTTCAAATTGAATACAGGTATAAATCATAGACAATAAGGGAGGAGTATTTTTCTTTATTATTAATGTATAGTCGCAAAGTTTAAATATAGAACGTGTGACAAAAAATACTTATGATAAATAAATAGGAAGCCACTACAAGCCGGTGCCGTTTAATTCCACAAATGCGAAAAAGTGTACCAAATTGTAAAAATAATTAATAGAAATTGACAATACAAATAGTGCATAGAATTTACTGTCACAAAAATAACTCGCAAATCGTATTGCAATGGTCCTGAGTCTTAAACAGTCTATAAAGCTCTAACACGAAGAATTCACAAATGAACGCACAGTTTACAAACTGGTGTTCATTTCACAAAGAACTAAATACAAGAACAGCACAAAAATTTAACGCACAGAGTATATTTCAACGTAACATAAAATTAACAAATAACATTCAAAGTTCAGATAATGAGGTTAAATGCATAATAGCTGCTCTAAATTTACTTTCAGACTTATTTTGGGTACACTTACTTATATCACGCACTTCGCTCGTGGCGATATAAATTTTATCGTACAAAGCAGCAATAGAGGGGAATGTTGCGTTATTCATGTATCTGAACCTTCAATGTACGGCATGGAGTGGTCACGCTCGCTCACCGGGCGCCGCGCGGTGGTCAAGGCGGAGGGAAGACGGCGGCCGTGGGTGGGGGGGAGGTAGCGCGTCAGACACTACCAGGGGTGTTTGCGGGGACTCCAATGGTTTCGTACCTGTAAACGTTTTCATTATTCATTACACTGGGGTCATATATATATATACAAATATATATACATATAAATATATATATATATACATACATATATATATACATACATATATATATATATATATATATATATATATGAAGATGTTACAAGGAGTTCGATTATGTAAATACAATAGTTTCTTATTTAATACAATAATAATATGAGTTTAATCTATGAACAATGACTTCAATGACTTAGAGTTCAATGTTTAAAATGAGAAATGATTGCAAGAGTACTTACTTTTAAGACCTAATAATATTACTTGATATAAAAGCATATTCAGTTAATATTTAGTTTTTTATTACTGTTACTCCATATTTTGTAAATATAATACATACGTTATTCGTTACATATTACTTAGCCTTCACGAACTTTTAATGATTGACCTCATAAAATATTCCTACTAGTGTGGCGACCTCAAAATTATTGCAGGTGCTCGATAAATGCTTGTGCTTTAGGGGCGTTTTTGTAGCCTATGATATTTACAGACTTAAGATACACAATTTCTTTGTAGCTTAGGATGAGACATTTACTATCAATAGTGGAATGAGATAGGAAATAATGATAGTAAATTGGATAATCACAAAAATATGAATTTATTAAAAAGTCTGTGTTTGGTATTTAAATATGTTATTCTCGATGCCAAGATAAAATTAGTGGTATCTAGTCTCTTTTGAATATTATTGTTAATTGTTATTATTTTTTAAGGTTATAGTCATCACAGAGTTTGAAGATAGTAAAAATCGTTTAATTTTATCTCTTCTAAAACTCTGGAATTCCCAGACGAAATATTTTATATATTCCTTAACTTTTATTACAAACTCTTCTAAATTCTTAATATTTAAGTAATCTATAAATTACCTACGAAGGATGTGAAAATAATTAGAGCGAGTATGTCCCCAACATTTGTCTGTTTATTATTTGAAGAGCTTACTTTGTGTCCGTAGGATGTTTGTCTATAAAATATTATGGATGTAAAGATAGTTATTGGATTATTCACCCGAGGTAGTCTAGTAAAATATCATCTGCGTGGATACCTCAGTCTCACCTATTTCAGCTGCCAAACAGCTTGCATCGTTAGCTGTATTTCTGTTTTATTGTGGTGCGATTAGGCAGTGAAATTTAAGTATAAGAAGCGTGGCATCTTAGTCCATCAAAATGGCCACGCATGAGTCGTGTCACGGGTATCACATGACGGCGTGATGACCATGAATATCGTTACTGCTTCCCATCAGGTTGACTGTCAACGTTTCATTTCAATTACACAAAAAATATATCTCACCAACAAAAGAGCTTTCAAGCCAATACAACTTTTGGCTGGAACGCGGTGACGGCTGACTGTCCAAGTCACCATTGGCCGGCTCCAAACCAGAAACGTAATGCACGATCGCCGATGTGACTTCTTTGATCGATGATTGGATCTCCTCAGATGCCTTCGAAGACGCCGATTGCTGCAGGAGGGAAGATGCTAGCCTGAAATAAAGTAGATTGATTGTTTTATGATAAATATTCTTATTCTTGTGTAGGTCTATTATCGAAGTTACACGGTGAAGTTATGAAAATGGTCTACCAATAAAATCTTTATAATTATAAGTTTTAATATAAATATTCTAAAGATACTGTGTTTTTATTATTAAAATTAATTCAATAATTATATAATATTAATTTATGACATATTAGGTAATGGAGACTTATGTTTAAAAGTATACGGTTAATTTTAATATTGGCTGTAGACGTTTGTAGGTGCCTTAGATTTGTATTATAATATATACATCTGTAAAGTGAAGGTCAGGGAACAGTAGTGTCTTGTAACAGTTTTCCTATTTACTTTTACATATGTCTCTTCATTTGTTTAAATTTTGTATATATATTACAATAACATATAAAAAAACCTATTGAAGTTTTTTACAAGTATCCCGATTAATGAAGGACAATGAATGGTCTCTGTATAATTTCTACTATCTACAGCTCGAGAACACCTTATTAGTAATATACTAACTGAAAGAGAAGCTCGCGACATTGAGTTTTTTTTTTAATTTATTGTTTATTGTTGATAACAAAAAAAAATGTGTGTCAATTTATATATCTGACTGACATTCCGGTGAACATCGATATCCAATTTAAAAAAAAAAACTAATCCGAGAGACGCCGGTAATCCACCACTGTTGTATTCAAATATATTCAGCGAAACGTGGGCTTGTTGCGTTGACCACAATATCGACTGGACAATACTTCTGACTACCCCATTTGGTTTACAGTCGTGATGGTATTTTTTTTATTAAGGGTTTAGGTATTGTCAGTTGCTAAAACCTGAAGCACTGCGACCTGCATAGATCTATTGTGTTCGCCCTTTTTCAAAGTTAGCTACCCAGACCCATCACGGACAAAAATTTAAAGATATTCATAGCAGCGATGGTTTTTATCTTCTCAGGATAGAGTGTATACTTTCCAAAGGAATTATTTCGTATGTTTGTGTGGACAACCACATAGGATGTGTAGTGTGCGTTTCGTCTTCAGCTTGGCAAAATCTGCAGATTTTTGTTGAGCACATGCTTAAGTTTGCAATGTGTTTATTCAATTTGCAGTCTTGAGGGTCCTAGTCGTGATGATATGTCTGTAGCATATAACTCACCTCTCATGAGGCGTTCGTGGGGTGTTGTTCAAGCGTTCCTGACTCCTCCAGCCGAGGTAGGGCTGACGAGCACTGAAAGAGGAGCGGGCAGACGGGGAACAAAGCGGGCTGGTGCCGCGGATGCTGCTACGCGTTGACGAACAAGGCGAAGTCTGTAACATATGAGAAGACATATTATTATTACCTGCATATGTAAAACTATGATTTATTTGACGGCCTCGATGGTCAAACGGTTTAACACATTTTTATTTCCGATGGTCGCGGGTTCGATTCTGTATTAGATTTTTATAAAATGCTATAATAGTAACTATATATGTTAATAGATTTAGCAAGCATAATTATGCGGGAAAAACGTAGTGCTAATAATAAACACTAAAATATCTGTACTAATATTATAAACATTAAAGATTCAATTTATCTATGTTATAACGAACTAAACAAGTGAAGTCCAATTATATCATTTCATAAACGGTGTCTATAATATATGTAGTAAAAATTGACATTATTTGATTGTAAATTTAATTCTAGTTGAAATATTATTTTGTATACTTATTTGGTTACTCACTTTACTATTATCATAAAATAAAATGGTTGATTGTTTAGGTACCTGATTAGAGTTAAGTCTGCTAGTAGACCACCGTCCAAAGCTGGTCGTATGGGGGGACAACTGTGGCGGTGGTGGCTGGCAGTTAGCGCCTCCCAGGCTACCAAGTGACGTAGTCTTCGAGTTGAGGCCGCTCCATCTTGTCGCTGACGCGGACGCGTCAGAGAGACGCTTGCGGAGGAGAAAGCCCTCGCGAGGGGCTGGTGCGTTTTTGTACCTGAAAGTAAATAATGCATTTCATATAGGTACATTTTGTTAAGTAGCGTAATTTTATAACTTAAGGGTATCAACAAATTATGTTCATCGTATTGATTTATACTTTTACATTTTAATAGGCCAGAGCTATGATCTCTTTGTAAGTACAGTTAAATACTTGTGATGGGAAATCCCGCTCTTCTAAGGTTGTTTATTATTTTTCTATATACATGTATACATGCTAAACATAGAAACATTTCTATATGAATTTTGTGATTTTTGATATGACATAAATAACGTGTACTTTCCACTGTTTTAAACTTTTTACGCGATTGTTGACACATCAAACAACATACATGGGATATTTACCCTTACTATATTATATTATAGTATTAATGATTATTATATATGTTCGGTCATGGGGCAATTGGCACGACTCGAATATTGTCGAAATATAGATCAAGAATAACATAATCATGGTAAATATCGTCATAGTTAGTAATATACTGTATTTGGTGACCTCTTCGCAGCCCCCCTTGAAAACCATAATTTCGGCATGATGGGTTAACTGATTTAACTTCGCCTTATCTATTAAAAAAATCCATATCCCTTCTATATAACCGTAGGTACTATATAACCACGCAACTTGCTTAGCTTGACATTTTTCCTGTTTTTGCAACTTTTATTTCTTTTTCATCGTTGTTTCCCTTTTATCACAGATAACATAATATTACGAATTGTGATCTTATATATCTCTCCACGATAAATGAGCTATACAATAGTACAATATTTTACAAGCAAACATACTAATAAACTCGTCAATTTGATATGTGTATTAGTATAGATGTACTTTCCAGTAGATTAATAAACAGTACAATGAATATCAGGGGCAGCTATATTGGACGGGTGACTGCAAGTCTGAGATCAGCATTTTCCATAATTTCCCTGGATATTAGCCAAGTTGAAGGTATGTAGGCGGCATGAAAATTTTGCGAACGTACTTAATACCTTCAATGCCAAAGGCCTCCTACTAAAAATCTATTTACGGGTATATATATATACCTCTTGACTGATTTCCTCTCATTCAGTTACTCTACTAATTCGTTGTATATTTATTATTTTAACTCTAATGAATTAGTGCGCGTAAGTAGTTTGTATTCACACATTTTAGCTTATAAATGTAAAATTACAACTAAAATATTTAAAAGAGCTATACGCGAGTTTTTATCGATCTTATTGGGATGAGACAACTTTTTGAAGGAGCTGTAGATAAAATAAAATTATAATAAATATTCAAAACTGCTTAAATATAAGTTTATTTGAATTAGAATTTTCTATTCCATTCATAAATGTAGCAATAAGAAAAGAGCTTTAATAAAAAAAACTAATATATAAGTACATGAGGATTTTATGTGCTTTAGGTACGCTACACCTTCAGAACAAGTTAATCGTTTTCATTCATTTTTTCTTTTAAAATTCTCTAACATTTGGAGAAGGTAGTTACGAAATAATAATTAAGAAAATTGTTCAGAAACTTTTTAGAAAACTAAACGTTTAAGAAAACTAAACGATTATTTTAACGTCGCGCTTGACAGTTTGCGTTACAATGAGACAGGAAAACGTCTGTTAGAATTCTTAAGTCGGTCAGCTGGTATACGTCTTAGTACCAATAATAATTTCATTAGTACATCAAGAAAAATATCTTGCTCTGCGATTCTACTCGTAGTAAAGTTTCAAACTATTACCCAAGTTTTGTATACATCACACACACATGTACGTATCGTAAATTTTCAATAACTAACATATTTCAATATTTATTAACAATTAATTAAATAGTGATCTAGTACTAAACTAACTGCAAGAATATCACATTAAACTGTAAATTTAATTAGATTTGATGTTAAAAAAAGTACATAGGAAGCAAAAGATGTAGTAGATGTTAATTTTTAGTGCTATATATTAAGATTTACATGTTTAATATTAAAATAATGTCAGTATTAATAAAATAGACCCCGTATTTCGCCATCGCTTTGGCATATAAAATTTTAGGAATATATAATATAAATAATAAACACTGCATCTAAATAATCAAATTACATACATATGTTCTTTGTAAATATAAATGTAGTAAGTTATCAATTTTACACTTGATCTTAGTGGAGTTATACCATAGAGGTTCTAAGACTTTTGAATACAAGCGTATGATTAATCTAGTCGGATCATGCTCTAATTAGAATCATTAATTACAATAAAAGATAATTAAGGGTAATCTACCCTGTAGTGGCGTGAGAATATGCAATAGCAATTGAAAATGATGAGTTATTGACTTCATAATACATCTCTAAATTGAATGATTATTTATAAATAACTTACAACATTATATTCAATATGAAATAATTAAATATAAGGACCATTGGCATTACATGAAAATGTACATGGAATTTTTATATTTGTACCATTTTGATTGTTTATATGTAACTGGAATGGTAAAAAAACTAATCGCCTATATACAGTAATAGTACCACGGACATCTTGGCGTCATCTTTCATTAGTAGTATCCCTTATAAGGTGTCATGCCTCTATACGTTGTAAATTCTCTACTATATCTCGCTAGGAGACCTAGTTTGATGGCAGACATAGGTGAGACTAGACACGCAGACCATTTCGTAAAAACTTCTCGGTAAATATACAAAAATGTAAATATTTTTCGTTTAAGACGATACGTTTGCTGTAAATATAATAGTAGTAGTATAATAATTTATGGAACTTACCATTCCGGCACATTGAGCTTCTGCAACGATCTTTGTACACGCAGCTCGTGCTCAGAGAGCACACGGTCCGAATTCTTCTGCAATTCGTTCTCAGGAGGCTGTAACAATTAAAATTAAATTTATAATGATTTTAAAATAATGCATATTAACAATGTATCTCATAAATAGAAAAAGTTATATACCAAAATAAATGCTGAAGAAAGCGGAAGCTTTGGCTCTTCATAACATTGTTAAGTAAAACATCTTTAAATTTTTAATAAATTCCTGGTTTATTATATACTAATACATATATACATATACTTATGGACATTTAAAATATAATTCAGAAACATATTTTACTACTGACGTTTAGCGACATTTACCGATTGCATTATATCATCAATAGGCACTAAACGATAAACTGATGCACAAAACGAAGTGTTAAAGTTCATGTTTTCATCACTTTTATCTTCAAAATTTCTCAAAGGTGATGAATCACTCATTCCTTTCTCGATTTTTAGTGTTTGATGTATTTTATAAATTGCAAATCTGGCATATTCGATGTCTTCATCGTCGCTTTCTTCTGTTAATACGAAAGGTTCAGTAATTGCGTAGTGCGATCTACTTCTTAACTCTTCTCCAGACTCAATTATGTCTTCCGATCTTAAAATACTTTCACTTATTCCACAATCTTCTATAATTTCAGACCATGACGCAAAATACTCGGAGCTATTTGTATTGTTTCCTGATGCTTGCATTAAATCTGAAACTCCGTAAATAGTTTCATTCCATGAGTCGCCATAACTGCGGCTACTATCTGAATCAGTTATTACAGAATTCAAATTAAAACTCACTTTTCTTTTAGTTTTCTTCAAAGTGGACGTTGCTGGTATTGTATCTGAATTTGAAAAGCCTTGTAATATTTTATGTCTTTCAAAGTCATCATAGTCTGGAATATCAAGATCAATGAAATTATCGTTTGATGATGACGGAGTAATAATGGAGCAATTTCTATCATTATTTTGTTGTAGATCAGCTATGGGTGGTGGAGGCACATTTTCTAGTAAACGCATAAAAAAATTTCGTATCCTTTCATCTTTATCGTCAGTAGAAACTATATCAGGTGTTTTGTGTATTTGTATATTATTATTCACAATAGATGGATCTTCTGGTAATTTGTTATTAAGAACTGTGTTACTGCTATGACTAGAGTGTGCAAGAAGATTGCATTGAGATGAATTTCGTTTTCTTGTATCAATTTTTCGCACTTCTATTTTAGACTTCCATTCACGGTGTTTGATTTTAAAACCATTTAAACTCATTGAATTTTCATCTTCAGATTCGCTTCTTGGTATATCAGGATGCTTAGCGTAATAAACATCCCTTGAAAGTGGTTTGATATATGCATGTTCCGGTTTAACGTCTTCAAAGGGTTCCATTTCTTCTGTAATCCATATATTATCCAAGCACTGCCAAAATACATTTCTTTGAAGCACTTCTTCCGTTGTTAAAAGCACTATCGACACCATTTCAGTTAAGTAGTTGCTAGTTGTAGACTACGTTCTCAACTGAACTGAGTATATATTATTGTTTAGTTCTAAATAAATATTTTCTTGTCATTAAGAATGTTGTTTCAAAATAATTTGCCAAAATTAACTAATGATAGGTAAATGAAATATGAATTGTTAATCGTTTACTCTCGTATTATGTTTACTATTTATGTGTGTATACAACAGTGAACTTTTGCATTGTTATTCTACATTGCTCAGTGATTTGGAAAATAACTTATCAAAGTACAATGCAGGTCAGATGATCGTTGGTTGCGAAACTTTTTAATGAAAGATTCTTTTGAAGGTTAGTATAGAAAAGAGCGGGAGTTATGTGCTCTTTTGGGTAGAGGACTCACCCTGACGTCGGAGGAGGCTAGCAGCGCGCAAGGCCCCAGCAGTCCTACACTTTCCCAGCAAGTCATCTCCACAATGACCTTGTTCCTCACTCACGACTAGTCCATTGCACCTTATACACGCATGCCAATACTGATATCGGCCCGTAATGCACCACCGACTTCGTAATACCACATTACGTAAGTCCTCATGTCACGCTCGAAAACTAACCAATACCTTACTAACAAATAAAGCGACTACATTCAAAGCTACTAGAATCTTCCGAGTGGAAGTGAAGAAGCAAGCTGCAATATCGAAGCGGAAAGCGTTCGCCAATCAAATCAGAATAACGTTGCTTATTGAACGACAAATCCAATTACAAGACTGAATCGGAGCGATCGCGGAGCTTCGGAGCTTAAGGTCGCTCTGCGAGCTGCACGGGAGCCGGGGCTGGGTCTGGCATGTGCCGCTTGGCTCGGACTCACGCGTTGGCCACTGCGGCTGTCCGCATCGTGGTACATAGAGGATGGGGTCGAGGGGACAGGTGGCCGCGGCGCTGCCTCCTGCCAGACTGAGGCGCGGCGCGTGTCCTTGGCCAGCGCGCACGCGCACTCTGAATACCCTTTACTAAGTTTCTAGTGCCTTCAACAATATGAGTATTCTAATTAGCATTTTCTTCTCAACGTCATCTCTGTGTCTAGTCAACCGATACGTAACATTGTCGCTTTCCGCTACCGAAATGTCTGCTGATTCAACGAGAGATTTTTATTAGCGGTGCTCTATATAACGAGCGATGGATATTGATATATTCGTAATAGTCGTTACACAAGAGATTCAGCTGAGCAATATCTCCGAAGCTTTCATTTCACGTCATGTGATTGTTTGTATTCGAGGGTGTGGCATTGCGTGATATTCTGACCTCGGATAACCTTATCTAATTACCCTTAATGGTCAGGAATGATCACAATTTCAGTTAATGTAAACTATTATCAATTTAATATCTATTTCTGTGGGAATAGTTTACTGATTCTATAAGGTAGAACAACTACTCCTGGGGTCATTCTAAGAAAGATTTAGTCTAGCTCTATTATTATGGTAGCTGCACCATGACACTGGATTATAACATTCTGGATTCGACATGAATATATATATATATATATATGTCTAATGAACATAAACATATATATATGTATATATACATATATATAACTCAAAGGTGTCTGATGTAGTGATCTATCAACTAATAGCCCAAACCACCAGACGGATCGGGCTGAAATTGGCATGCAGGTAGATGTTATGACATAGGCATCCGCTAAGAATGGATTTTGATTAATTCTACCCCCAAAGGGATAAAATAGGGGATGACAGTTTGTATGAAACTTTGTCAATTTTAAACCGATCGGGCTGAGACTTTGCACGCATAAAGCAACTCTGACGTAGGCATTCCCTGAGAAAGGATTTTGATAAATTCCACCCCCAAGGGGATAAATTAACGCGAACGAAGCCGCGAGCAAAAGCTAGTACAATATATATAACAACATGTAATATACGACATATTACATGTTGTTATATATACTGACTGTACTGTAAAGGTATTTAATAAAGTATTAAGTTATTTCCCATAAACAGCATGCAGTAGGTACATCGAGAGGAAACGCATGAAATGTAGACCATGACCTATTTCACTGCTGGATACGTGTGGATGTATGTCACACATACAAATATATATGTATGTATGTACAGATGCACATTGACGTCATCGTAAATAATTGTCGGGATGTAACGTAATATTGATGTACTACATACTGATATTGTTTTTTAAAATGTTTAATGTTTAAAATGTTTATATTTGGAATTTATTTCAAGTGCTGAGTATGAATAATCTTTATTTAAATTATATTGAAAAGATATCCGATTATACATGTAACTATTAATAAGCATCTAGCTATTAAGCGCGGGATGTTACGTCACTCAAATGTACTTATGTAATATGCATGTACCTATTTCCGTTGTTCTGACAGCTAAGTACTTTGATGATGGTTAGATTAGTTTTCAATTTGAGATAATTTTAAGATGACAATGACGTCCATTATATTCTTCTATTTAAGACGACCTCGGTGGTCTAGCAGTTTAGCACACCGCCTTACATCCAATAGTCGCGAGTTCGATTCTTCGCACGGTACAAACATATAGTTACATACGAGTACATTATATTATAATATACATTGTATTCATGAGTATGATTGTATGTATATTATGTATGTTATTTTTAAAAAAAATGTAACTACATATTTGATTTAGTTGTCTGGTATCTATAACACTAGATCTACTTAGAGTGGGACTAGATGACGCTGTGAATCGTCCTAAGGTATTCTTATTATTAAATGATTTATACTAAAAGGAATAATTACAGTTATCCAATTGTTTTATAAATAATATTTTATTGGTATTAAATTTAGAAATTAGAATTTCGTGTAAGCTTACACCTAACCTAACCTAACGGGAATGTGTAAATTATTTAGATTGAAAAATAAATCTCTATATTGTAGTAAAACACAAACAAACAGAAAATCCGATAAACTAACTTAAGCTAAGTCTACCCGACACGTCACGCGAACAATGTTACATTATATTTAATTTTAAAACCATTGCGTGATATTTTGGGGTTTTAAAAGTACTTAATGTTCCTGAACGAAAATAATAGCTGCCTTTATATTGTTTATATCAATTTAACTTTTTATAATTGCGTCTAACTAGATTAAAAAAATAATGTAGAGATTCTATTTCGTTTTATTCATTCTTCAATTTCAATACATTGCACTTAATAATACAAATTTTGGGAAAATCGACTAGACTTTTCATTATAAAGTTATTTTTTTCATATATTGTATTTTTTTAGTTAATTCAGTATTACATTCCAGCGCCATATGTAAAAAAGAACAATATTCATTATCCACTGTCAACAGTGGGTTGATTGTTATATTTCAGTAGTGGCAGTAATGACCTTATTGACATTGGTAATATATTGTTATTTATTTATAAATTAGATGTCCACGGTATAATCTGCAAAACAATGCAATCTGCTACTGAAGCCTTGACTCGGTATGCAATTAACATTATAATTGTATTGTCTTAAAAAAAACTAATTAAGAGACGAGTCTACAAAAAAACCCTACTGGAAACGAAATAGATAACATCAGTTTGTGTTTATTAAAACTAGTAATACTAATTGAATA